ACAAAAAAAAAAAAAAAAGGTTGTGCTTTTAATGTAAAATCAGCTGCTTATGTTCGTGTTTGTCCATTAATGAAATACAGCTAATTAAATCCCAAATTTGTGCTGATCCACCGATCCTGATGGGAATATGAATAAAGAAGCCAATGAACGAAGCGCTAATGTAAAACAGCTCTATTCACAGTTTTCAGTCACGTGACTGGCTCGAAGAGGCAAAACATCCATAGAACTGCAGCACAAGCCGGTCAATTGTCTGTATGTTCCAATCCTAAAATATTTATATCACCTCTCAAAAGGATAAAACAAAGATATGTGAACAAAATGCAAGTTTTGGCCATTAGCAATCCATATAAAGCACCCCCCTCAATATTTCAATCACTAAAAACAGCGGGACATTCTAAAACGTTTAACGTAAAAACACTTTAAAACAGTGATACTAAAAGATGAAATTCAGCACACACCTTATTGATGATGCGTGCTTTATACAGACAAGCAGATGAGCTTGAATATGAACACAATGCGCTGAATGGTGAAGCGTTTTCTTTATAATGGTTTTCTATTGGAAAACATTTATTATTTTTATTCTGGGTTCATCTGCTCGCCTGTGCAGAGTCTGCGTCATCAATAATGTGTACTGAATTTGGCCTTTAAATATCACTGTCTTACTACATTACTACTTAATGCAGATAATAAGATACGATTCTAGAGTTAGCACATAATATTTCTGTAATACGGCCAAATTGTTTACAAAATCGTGCACAGAGGAATGCGCATGCTCATGCTTCAAGTGTCTACATAATAAGATTTGCTGTTTTATAAACTAATGGAATTGTGGCTGTATTTTGGGGCTACTGGACGTGTGTGGTGTGGCTTTGTGTCCGTAGCTGCAGGACTTCGAGGAGGCGCTGAAACAGAGGGATGAAATCATCACGCAGCTCACCGCCAATCTGCAGCAGGCGCGGACCGAGAAGGAGGAGGTGATGAGGGAGTTCCTGGAGCTGACGGAGCAAAGCCAGAAACTCCAGATTCAGTTCCAGCAGGTATCAGACGCGCTTCATGAGTCATTCGCAGTTCTGTGTGATTCTCAAAAACGGACAAAACACTTCTGAGCTTTATTATGATTTAGAGCAGCCTCTAACAGTAAAAAAACAACAACTGTAACGAGAGCTGTAATGATACTGTAACGATAATTATAGTGATAGCTATAATGATAACGATAACTATAGCGATTACTCTGATAACGATAACTAACAATACTATAGCAATAACCTAACTATACCAAAGAACGATAACTATAGGAATAATGATAACTGTAGTGACAACTATAACGTTAACTAATAACTATAATGATAACGATAGCGATTACTCTGCTAACGATAACTAACAATACTATAGCAATAACCTAACTATACCAAAGAACGATAACTATAGGAATAATGATAACTGTAGTGACAACTATAACGTTAACTAATAACTATAATGATAACGATAACTATAGTGATTATGATATCTGATAACTAGCGATTACTCTAATGATAACTATAGCGTTACTTACTCTAGTGATAACTATAATGAAAACTATAACGTTAATTAGTGATAACTTTATAGCAATTGCTCTAGTGATAACTATGATAACTACAACATTAACTAATGATAACTATAAAAATAGCAAAAATTATAACGATAACCATAATGATAATTCTAGCGAAAACTAACTATAATGATAACTTTGGCGCTAGCGATAACTTTAATGATAACTATAAAAATAGCAATAATATTAACTATAGCCACTATAGTGATTATGATATCTGATAACTAGCGATTACTCTAATGATAACTATAGCGTTACTTACTCTAGTGATAACTATAATGAAAACTATAACGTTAATTAGTGATAACTTTAAAAATAGCAAAAATTATAGCAATAACTATAGCAATGATAACTATAGCCCCTAAAAATAACTAAAACTATAGCAATGTTATGTATAGCGGCAACTATAATGATAGCTATAGTGCTAACGATAACTATAATGCTAACGATAACTATAATGATAACTATTGTGCTAACGATAACTATAGCGATTACTATAGCAATTACTCTAGTGATAACTATGATAACTACAACATTAACTAATGATAACTATAAAAATAGCAAAAATGATAACGATAACCATAATGATAATTCTAGCGAAAACTAACTATAATGATAACTTTGGCGCTAGCGATAACTTTAATGATAACTATAAAAATAGCAATATTACTATATAGCTATAGTGCTAACGATAACTATAGCGATAACTATAGCAATTACTCTAATGATAACTTTAATGTTAACTGTAACTAACTAATGATAACTATAACGTTAAGTACTAACTATAAAAATAGCAAAAACAATAGCGATAACTATAATGATAATTGTAGTGCTTTTGATAGCTAGTGATAACTATAATGATAACTGCAAAAATAGCGTTAACTATAGGGATAACTCCAATTATAGCAATATAATAGCGAGTATAACGACAAGTTGACAACTATAATGATAACTATAGTGCTAGCGATAACTGTAATGATAACTATAATAACTGCAAAAATAGCTATAACAATTATAATCACATACTGTAAAGATAACGATGTTAGTTAGTATCTATGCTAGTATCTATACTGATAACGTTCTGCTGCAGTTTTGTCGTCTGCCGCTTAAAATCCTCAAACTCTTTAAGGTCGGGTGGATTCCGCATGGATTAGCATAAAATACATCCACCCGCATATACGTAGTGTGAAGCGGTAATTAGCTAAAACATTTTGACTGATACATTTATATTGAAAGAAGTCAGTAGACACAATAATCAACATTTATTTCTTGCCTTCATGATAGAAGCGTGTCTGTGAAATAATTGTTTAGACTTTGTTTTTGCCCGTTGTATGACGTTTTAATGCAGTCTAATTCCAGCTTGTTTACATTGTTGTTAAAATAAATGTGGCATCTGAGGTTTATCGTTGTTTGCTAGTTTCTCTGATACCCTGATGCTTTCAATCTTCCCTCAGCTGCAGGCCGGTGAGATACTGCGGAGCTCCAACATCAGCTCCACCGCTGCAGATCTTCTCCAGGCCCGTCAGCAGATCACGCTGTACCAGCAACAGCTGGACGAGAGGGACGCACAGGTCAGAGGTCACCAGGAGAAGACGCAGGAGCAGCTTTTATTGATCGCGCAGCTTCAGGAGAGGGTGAGTTCAGCCCACTCAGCGGCCGTCAGCCCTAGGCAGCTGTTTCCAGTCATGCGATCCAGCGTCATAAGCTTAGCTCAAATCAGGCCAAAAAAATAGTATCGTTCATGTTCATGGCTAATGCTTAATAAAACAACCAAGCAGACATCTTTAAGTAAACCGAGTGAAAAGTGTGTGGTTGTTATATTTCCTCCATTGTTTATTATCTAAGCAGTCAAATTAGGGCTGTTGATTTAAGAAGTTACGTGAAATAGCCTGTTAGAATGCAGTAGTGTTAATTTCGTTAACGAAATCTATGACGGTTTTTGTTACGCCAGTTTTCATAACGTAGACACGGCGAGTGTATATCTGAAGTCTTTGGTGTTTATTTAGCCTCTAATGATATCCTGTGATAATCTGTACACTAGATGAGGTCAAATAAACCATGCATACGAGTCGATATTCTATTGATTTGTTGTTATTGGTAAAAGAGCAAATGTAAAAATAAATTTCCCAAATGACTTTTTATAATTTTAACTATTATACAGTAAGACGAAAATATGACGAAAATGTGTAAGTTTCCATTGACTAAAATTAGACTAAAATTCTCAGACATTTAGTCGACTAAAACTTGGCTAAACAAAAACAGGACAAGTTGACTACATATGATAAAAATACCATATGAGCGAGAGTGCTGTTTTTCCTCAATATCTGTATGATTGCAGATGTGATCGTGATTTTATACAGTTTAATAAACAAGAAGCTCATGTTGTGTTACATTTTAGACTCAATATTGTCTGTTTTGCTCCGTTTCAGAAAAAACTAAAAATAACTATAGCGATGATATGTATAACGGCAACTATAATGATAACTATAGTGCTAACGATAACTATAGCGATAACTATAGCGATTACTCTAGTGATAACTATAATGATAACTACAACATTAACTAATGATAACTATAAAAATGGCAAAAATGATAACGATAACTATAATGATATATCTAGCGAAAACTAACTATAATGATAACTATGGTGCTAGCGACAACTCAGCTAGCGATAACTATAAAAATAGCAATAACTTTAGCAATTGCTATAACTATAGCCATGATAAGTATTACGATAATAACTCTAGTGTTAACAATAACTATAATGACAGCTATAACAGTAACAATAACTATAATGATAGCTATAGTGCTAACGATAACTATAAAAATAGCAATAACTTTAGCAATTACTATAACTATAGCCATGATAAATATAACGATAATGATAACTATAGTGTTAACAATAACTATAATGACAGCTATTACAGTAACAATAACTATAATGATAGCTATAACACTAACAATAACTATAATGGTAGCTATAATGCTAGCAATAACTTTAGCAATTACTATATAGCCATGGTAAGTATAATGAAGTTTCAGAAATGAAAATAGTACCAATCAAAGCCACGGCAGAATTGATGTGCATCTTTGTGCAAAACACAGCAGTGCTTCGTTACTAAATGAATCCAAGTTTTAGAACGAATCGAGTGAGTCGGTAATTTAGTGACTCATTCATAAAGACAATCACTTGATTCGTTTACTTAACGGATCGGCCTTTTGAACGAATCTGTTGAATGAGTGATTCAATGACTCACGCATTAAGACAGTGACTCGCTGCCACCTACTGGAGGTTTTACTTTCATAATATCATTTCATATTTCAGTATTAAATAAAAAAAACATTAATGCTCATTTATTATCATTATTTATGCAACGTTGAATCAGAATTAAGCTACTTTTTTGTAATATCTATTCAGTGCTTTTTATATTTATCAGAATATTGACTTTAAATTAGCTTTTGGGGGGTGATTTCTCAGCCAAAATTGATGGCCGATTAATTAGATTGATTAATCGGCACATCATGTTATTAATTAGATTCAAAATTTTAATAGCTTGACAGTCCTAGATCAAATACAACTACTTTCAAGTAAAAACTTTTTTTTTTCTGTCATCAGGTCCGCACACAAGCTGAAGAGTCGTTTGCTCAGAGTTTACGAGAGAAGGACCTACTGAATACTGAACATCAGCGTCTGATAACACAGCTTAACGATCAGCTTCTGACTTCCAAACAGCAAGTGGAGGAATTCAACAAACATCTCGCTGCGAAAACTCAAGAGCTGGACAACTGCGAAAAAGAGCTCTCCACGTCCAGACAGAAAGAGCGCATGTCATCCGGAGAAATCCTGCAGCTCATGAAAACCGTCGAGGACCTCCAGCAGCGCTGCCACCAGGGAGGCCAGTCGGAGAGCGAGACGCTCCGGAGAATCGAGGACAACTGGAGCCAACGGATGGAGCAGCTGCGCGCCGAACTGGACGAAATGTACGGTCAGCAGATCGTGCAGATGAAGCAGGAGCTTCGCACGCAACACGCAACGGAGGTGGAGCGAATCCGAGCGCAGCATTGCTCGGAAACCGAGAAGATCGTCCGGCAGCATCGGTCAGAGCTGGAGAGGTTTAAAGCTCAACTGTTTCAGAGCGCCGGAGGTGTTAACGTGCTAAACGTGAAGCTCATCGAGCTCCAGCAGAAGCTGCAGGAGACGCAAGTGTTGCGCGAAAAGGCGGAGCAGGAACTAACGCAGGTGAGCACAGAAAAACTCGGTTTGGCGCAGGAGGTGGAGCGTTTGCGCGACGAGCTGCAAAGAGCGGAAATACAGAGCCCAGAGAAAATGCAACACGCTATTAGCGACCTGCAGGCGCAGCTCGATTTAGCGCATAAAGCCAACGGCGAACTAGAAGCCAAGCACGAATCGGAAATCACCAACTATAAGATCAAACTCGACATGCTGCAGCGGGAGAAAGACGCGGTGCTAGACCGCATGGCTGAATCGCAGGAGTCGGAGCTGGAACGCCTGCGAACGCAGCTTTTGTTTAGCCATGAGGAGGAGCTCTCCCGACTTCGCGACGACCTCCAGCGGGAAAGCCATCTCAACGTGGAGAACCTGCGCGACGAGTTGGGTGTGAGGCACCACGAGGCTTTGGACTGTTTCGAGGACAAGCTGCGGTCGGTGGAGCGAGAGAAAGCGGCGCTGGCGGCGGAGAGACTCGCGCTGCTCGAGGAGATCGTAGCATTGAAAAACGACCTGAATCGGGCGACGGAAAGCGCGAGAGCCGAGGAGCTGGTCGTGCAGCTGAAGGAGCTGCAGGTGGAAGTCGGAAGCGAAGAAAAAGACTTGCAGGCAACCGCGAGGGACGAGCTGACAGTGCTGAAGAACGAGCGTGAAAACCTTCTGCAGAAAATCGCCCGCCTTTCCTCGGACAACGAACAGATGTGCGCGCGACTGAAAGAGCTTCGGGAGGAGACTGAAAAGCAGAAAAACACGTTCTCCTTCGCTGAGAAGAACTTCGAGGTGAACTACCAGGAGCTGAAGGACGAGTACACGTGCCTGGTGAACGCTAAACTACAGCTAGAGCAGCGCTTGGTCAGAGAAGCCATGGAATATGAGACCAAACTCAGAGATCTGCAAACGAGACACGAGGAGGTGGATGGGAAGACACCGATTGAAAAAGACACCTCTGAGCTGATGGAGAAGCTGGAGACGGCTGAGAACGAGAAGAAGAGCTTAGCAGAGCGTCTCTCGATGATGCAAACGGACATGAAACGTCTCGAAGACGAGCTCAAGAAGACACTGATTGAAAAAGACACCTCTGAGCTGATGGAGAAGCTGGAGACGGCTGAGAACGAGAAGAAGAGCTTAGCAGAGCGTCTCTCGATGATGCAAACGGACATGAAACGTCTCGAAGACGAGCTCAAGAAGACACTGATTGAAAAAGACACCTCTGAGCTGATGGAGAAGCTGGAGACGGCTGAGAACGAGAAGAAGAGCTTAGCAGAGCGTCTCTCGATGATGCAAACGGACATGAAACGTCTCGAAGACGAGCTCAAGAAGACACTGATTGAAAAAGACACCTCTGAGCTGATGGAGAAGCTGGAGACGGCTGAGAACGAGAAGAAGAGCTTAGCAGAGCGTCTCTCGATGATGCAAACGGACATGAAACGTCTCGAAGACGAGCTCAAGAAGACACTGATTGAAAAAGACACCTCTGAGCTGATGGAGAAGCTGGAGACGGCTGAGAACGAGAAGAAGAGCTTAGCAGAGCGTCTCTCGATGATGCAAACGGAGCTGGAGATGCTGAAGAGAGACAGAGACGAAGAGCTCTTCGACTGCAGCGTTGCTGGTGGGCTGTGCTCAGTGGACACACATCACGGTCACATCAGATCTTTGCGGGAGGAACTGGATGCCTTGCAAGACGAGGAGCGCCTCGAAGCAGCGCAGCCGCAGCCGCAGGAGGGGAGGGAGAGAGAGACGCCTGCGAGTACTCCAGCGCGCCGGCTCGCTTTACACACACACACAGCAACAGCAGCAGCAGCGCATGAGGATCAGCTCTCAGCGCCCGACCGACTCCCGCAGCAGGTAAGAGCCGCTGCTAACGTGTGACGAATCTGCGTTTGTTTATGTCGACTCCTGAACTCGCGATGCAACAGTTGACCTGCGTTTATCTGCATTGCACTGCGTTGAAAATGCACCAGCTGTGCTTGATTTGATGTAGATGCTATGGAAAGCTTTCTCAGAGGATTTATCCATGCAGCACTGCAGGTGAAAACTGTGGGAGGAATTGATGTGCGTTTGAGGGCCGAGAGAGAACGAGAGATGATTTCGAATCGAACAGAGTGCAGGGCGATGGAGGGGCGAGAGAGATTGTGTTATCAAAGAGAGAGAGACAGATGAGCTTTATTCTCTTGCGTGTGACACTCTTTGATCTCAGCAGCTCTGATGGAAAATGAGTGAATATAGACAGCTTTAAAAGGCCATCATTGACACTTTAACTTTGTTTTTTTGCACATAACATTATTTATGGGTGAATCTCACAAAAACATACGTAGGTCATATTCCACCCCAAAATCAAAATGTTTTTTTGTTGTTGTTTTTTTAAAGAAAGAAAATCATGTTTATTTCCATATCACATTTGAAAATTTTTTTTTTTTTGCATTTTTATATTATTTACAACCATGTAACAAATTAACCCCCCCAATTCTCATTGTCATAAAGAATCTGGATTATTTTATTTTATTTTATTTATTTATTTATTTATTTAAATTTTTTTTTTTAATTAAACAAATTTAAATCAGCAATTATAAAAAAAAATTGTGCAGTTTTTTAATTAAATTAATGGAAGTACAAATATTACCATGATGTAGAAATAATTTACAATGTAGATAATCGAATTCTAATCTAATTAGTTTCACATTACTGTTATGAGAGAGAGTATTTTATTTGTTTTGTGTTTCATTAATGATAATGGGAAAATTTAATTATCATGAAAATTGTCACATAGCAACAAATCTTAATAGTCCTAAAAATAGGCTTAGTTGCTTTTATGAAGAAGAAATTATATTGTTATAAATAGTGAAAAGTACAAATAAAAGTATAAAGAAATAAAGAAATTAAATATAAATATTGTACGTTTTTAAAACTTTTTTTTTCATTTTGATTTTGGAGTTGCAAGTATGACCCAGACATGTTCTTTGCAATTTTGTGACACAATTTTCATGCACTAATTGTAACTTAGTTTTTCAGACCATTTCCCACTGTCTCTCTGATGCTTAATTCTTAATTAAATGGGCTGATTTAGTGAATTGACATCATTTCCACGGTTGTTTGTCAGAGCAGGTGAAGTTTCTGAACACTGAGTAGCTGTTGATATGTAAATGTGTTCGTCGTAATCATGCAGCTTTGTGAACGAGTGGTTTTGTGCGTGTTTGATGTGCTCCGTCGTCTCCTGCAGGATCGCTCAGCTGCTGTTTGTGATCCGCAGGTGGAGACGGGAGACGCTCTGGCCGATGGAGACGCTGTCGGAGCCTCGCTCATGATGCAGCCGCGAGAAATGGACGGCGCTGAGCATGTAAGTATCCGACTTCAGCTTATAGCTGCAGCTCAACAGTTCAGGAGGAACAAAAATAGGTGTAGGATTTACTTGGAGACCATTTTCACTCAGAAATGGCTAGTAAAGTTCACAAATAATTGCAAAGAAATGGCACATTGAACTTCAAAAAAATAATTTTACAGTGTAAAAATGTGTGTACATGTGCTAGAGTGTGTGTACGAGTCTGCTGCGGTTTAAGTGCTATTAGCTGAATTTGCTTTCTTGTGTTAGTGTCGCTGTGACATTTATCAGAAACCTGCTATTAAATCATTGGAGGTGTTTCCTGTGCAGCAGATTTTTCTCTGTAATTGCTGCTCGATCTCCATCTTCCTGTGATGGTCATTAAAATGCTTGGTTTCTGCCTGTTAACACATCAATGAGGACAGAGCCGGACCCTCTCTGCTCTTTTGTGTCTCATATAAAAGAGCCTCACAGTCTTATGACGTGCTGAAGTGTTTGTGTGAGTGTGTGTGAGAGAGAGAGTGTGTGTGAGAGAGAGAGTGTGTGTGTGTGTGTGTG